TTTTTTTGCAATTTAATGTTTTCCCACATGTTTTAATATGAACTGAATGTAAATATTAATATTAATTACTATTAATAATATTTATATTAATGTAATATGAATTGAATGTAAATATTTATAGCAAGCTACTATAAAAGTGTCAAAAACCTTTATTCATTTATAGGCGGCATATACAGTGCGTCAGACTGGCGAGTTGGTTTGGATGGGTTTGTGAAAATGATTCAACTGTGTGTAGTCGAAGGCGAGTCAACAAGTACACAAATGACTCGCGAGTCGGACGCACCGTGTATGGCACCTATCGGTAAATCGGAACTTCGATTCTCTCGATCGTTTAAACATCTCGGACTCGCCCATCACTACTTTTTATAAGAAATCAACTCGTTTTGCTTGCAGGGCTGCCAATCAGCAGAAATTTAACATAGAGCGTAATTTAAGTCCCCGCTGGGTTTCCAGTGCAGCCATAATAATTGGGGTGTTCACAGTTCGTTCCAAATTGTGTCTGAAAATGTAGACGTCTACATTTTGAGAAATCTTTAGCATCAAACTGTGAGCACCCCTTTCTAGCAGTCGTCGCAAAATCGTCTCAAAACTTTGCTGGTGTTGCCAGACATTTCTTCTTTGCGTGCTTTATTATATGTCGCCTTTCGATTTTGTTTCTGAAAAATTGTAATTATTTAACTTAATTACCAATTCCTAATATTTGTTATTTCTTTTCCTTGACTTATTTCTTTTCATCAGAAATTGCGCTCAAATTAAATGCAAATATAGAAAACGTGCCCAATAAATAAAAAAAATGCGATTAGTATTGCTATAATGCAACCCTGCTGCGAGGTTGCAAAATGTAGACGCGTAAAAAACATACCTTTGAGTGTGACAAAATGTAGACGGCGTCGTTTTCCAATTTTGTATGGGAAACAACAACACCACAGATTTTACGGTTAGAAAACGTCTTAAAATGTAGACGTCTACATTTTCAGACACTATTTGGAACGAACTGTGAACACCCCAAATGTTGTTTGCTACACCGTCAATAAATATCGTGATACTTGGATCACGTCAATAATACTGACCGTTTGACAGGGCCCATAGACGACGAACGTGTTCGCCAGCATGTTCGCATGTTGCTGTTGTGAACGTGTTGGCGAACACATCGTCAGTTAACGAAAATGTTCGATTTTTGGAAAATTTTAAACTAATTTAATTAATAAAATCAAAACATAAAATTTTTATTGAAATGAAATGCGCGATAATCGGTTGCAAAGACACGTACAAAGATAATAAATTGGTTGGCACAAACATGCGCTCAAAAATTGATTTAATTTTTTTCTTTAAGTTCTGAACACATTGAAAACGACGAGCTACCGACCACAGCTTCCAATTTGTCATCTTTATTATCTAAGCGCTTTGTCGATGGCGACATGATTTCTTTGAACGCGGCAGCGACATCATGAATTTGTATGAGTTTGACATAAAAGAAGAGGAAGAACCTTATCTGTCGCCAGAAAAATAGAAATAGATCTGGCCACAACCACAGCCGTCGCGTAGCCCGGTCGTCGCCAAAATAATTATCTACATAAGAGTACGTGTTAACATAATTTGACAGCTGTGGTTTTTAGCTCGTCGTTTTCATTGTGTTCGGGCTAGTAAGCTGGCAACCCGAGTCGCAGATGTGAACCATGAACCAAAAAGACAAGATCACGACAGCAGAAGAGTGGCCCCTTATAATCGCACTTATGAAAAAAGTAGGGCGATTTTGACATAAGCCGTTTGTTTACATTTGTTCGTTGTTTACAATTTGGTGATGGCTTTTTACTGCAATTTTGTTAATTTTCGCTTGTGACAACGTGTGCACACATAAGGTAAAGAATAATTTAACACAACGACATGATTTATAGGAGAATTTGCATAATAAAAACGATTATTCATGCGTTCAACAATTACGCGTTTTTTTTTGTTCTCTTCGTTGTTTACTTCTTACAACAAAGATGGCGTCGAGATTTCAACAGCTAGAAAATAACTTTTTTCTTTCTTTCCTTAAAGCGTGATCATGTGTCTATCGTTCATGGATGTGAACGGAAATTTTCACTGAGTGTTGCATTTGTTGAAAAGGGTACTTAATCATTGAGATCAATGAAAATAATTTATAAACTCCAAAGTATGCGCCCCAAAGCAAGCCGTTTATACATAGAATTAATTAAACTTGAATTATATGATGTTAATGTGTTTAAATTTTACTAAATGGCTTGAAACATAAAGGCTGCATTTCTTTATTCATTCTGAACGTTTGGAATAAACTTTTTTGTTTATTCTTTAGAACGTTCCTGATGATACGTTGACGTATATTTCATACGCATCCTGTTTATTCCGGCTGTGAAATGGGATTATCCGGAATGTATAATAGGGCATTCGCACGAGGCTATTTTACAGGCAACAAAAGTTGAATGCGGAGTTGAATGAGAAGTTGAAAGTGAAAAAGTTGCTATCCCTATTCAGACGAGGCGATTTTCAATTCAACACGAATAGTTATTTACATTATTTAAAATGAATTTAAATCGCAAAATTTTATCAATTGGCGTAAATTTGGTAAGCCAAGCGTTGGTAGAAGTGCTTTTATCGAAGCTGAAAGATAAAATAAGAGTAAAAAGCATGATTCAATAATACAAGGTTAGATAATTATTGACAGCTGCGGTTTGACACTCCCTTACAAAAGGTTGCATTTACGAAGGACAGGGAAAGGGCAAGAATGCAATCCCTTGTTTCGAAAATGGTAGTAGAAAAGTACGCAAAGTAGGCAATTAGTAGTGAAATTCCTTTCGTAAATTCTAATGTATTTGCAGGAAATCTGGCATTTTAAACGAAATGTTGAACGTAATATTGATATATCTACGTGAATTACGTAACTTATATGCTATTTAGCCGTATAAAAACTGCAAAATGACTCAAAATTAAAATAAGACTACTATGAGATTGATGTAAACATCCAATGCTTAGGTTTTCATCAGTTAAATATGCTTCATATGCATATACAAATAAACATATTGCACAAAAGCTTATACTTTTATTTCACACCAAAGCTACACTGTTTCCATGTAAATTTTCAAAGAAGCAACACGGTGCCACTGCTAAGGGAGCGGTGCGAGAGAGACAACTGTCAGTTTATCGAACCTTGTATTATTGAATCATGAGTAAAAAGTAGAAAAGAAGAAAAAGTATGTATACAGAACAGTGTTGACATTTTTGGTACAATTGTACTTGGTTGATACAATTTCATTTACAATATACTTTCCTACTACGCAGTACTTTTTAGTACAATTTTGTAATCAATACTAAATATATATAGCTCTGAAAATTCACAGCAAGAAATTTTTGTATTCTCTTTTGTTGTTTTGTTTTGAAAAATGGCTTGAACGAACCAGTATAATATAACCTAGGCAAATTTTTAAAGAAACTTTTCGATACTAAGTTTTATTAAAACAAAATGTCGAAGTCAGCTTCATATAGAAACAAAGCCTTCGTTAGTTTTAAGAAGAGATTTTCTTAAATATAATACCTTTACGGCACTCACATATTGACAAGATTTTACTATTCATTTTATTATTCTTTAATTTTAATTATCTGTTTATAAAATATAATGTATTCTTTAAGAAAAACTGTATAAGCCCAAGATTAAATCTTTGCGAAACAGCCAAAAGACAACATACTTTCGTAAAAATTTCGAGCTTTATTAATATTCTTTAGTTTTTAGCCCATTCAATTTTAGTATAATAAGGTGCAAGTTTAAAGTAGCTGGGACATACCGTTGAACTTGGCAATTTTTTTTGTCGACGATGTCAGCTGTCAGAAAATTAGCAACACCTTCATCAAAGAAATCTTAAAAAACTTAGTTATATTAAAATTTAATGGGCTAAAAAACCGCACACTCAAAATAAATCTAGGAAATCGAATTAAAAAGTTCGAAATTTTTACGAAAGTGTTGTTAGTTTTTTTT